GCAAGAACAACAGACACCATTGCTGCATCGAAAGACAGATGGAAGTGGAGGTCCATGATCGCCCACGTCTGTTGACAAGGCACCGGATGATGATGAGAAATTAGAACTGTCAATCTTTTGGGTTTTTTAGGTCAAACCATGGTAATTTTGTTTTCCATTTGGAGGTGTGAAAACTTTCAACTCAAATATTTAAAAATTGGGTGGTTGGTGGGTGCTCTGATGTGGTTTGCTCCTTCTTTCCTATCAAACATCTATCGTCCTTATCTCTCCTTCTTCTTTTTTGGTCATGTTACTCTCTTGTAACTCCTCTAGTCTTCAGCACTTATATGACCCTACTGTGTTGCAAGTGCCGTAAAACTCTTACTAAAACTAAGCTAAAAAACTTGACCTAACTGAGGAAAAGCAGCGGTTTTGCAGATTTTGGTTTTAGAGGACTTTCTGTATTAGCCTTCCCTGTGACACAAAAGTTTTGTAAAAGGAAATAAACGAAGAGAATGACGACACATTTGGAAAAGATAATAGTAGAAACTTAAAAAAACATTCTAGTTTTTAATGTGATGATTCTACTTGTTTTTGTGGTTTGTTCTCGCAAAGTTTACACCGATTTGTCCTGCTCTATTTTTTCAGCAAAGCTAACGGTGTCATGAGTCGTGTATGTGTCCACTACGGAGAACTTCACCTCTACCCTGCTCTTTGAGACGCGATGCTGAGACGTTGAGGCTACTCTCGTTTTCAACATCAACTGACCCATTCAGCAAAGTCAAAATGTTCCAAGTTGTGTGCTCTTTGAATCATTTGATTGTATTTGTGTTTAGCTGAGAAAGCTATTTCGGAGATGGCAGGTGGTTGAAATGTAGTGTGTGTGTTGTGAAGGAAAACAAGGCCATTTTTTCTACCTTTTTTCCTGTCGTAATAGGGAACTGGTGGGTGTATCCAGAGGCCAGTTGTGGAAGAAAATGATCTCAACTTTTGGAAAAGTTTTCACTTTTAAATGTTTTATTTCAAACTGAGTATTCGGAGAAATGCATCAATGCGGGACTTGCCAGAAGGTCTTGAATATACTGAGGAGTCTAAGAAAGCTTCTCACTACGAGTACTTAATTTCTGAATTTGCTTCGTCATACGTTTGTCTTGCATCCATAAGCTGCCTGCCTCTTTGTACCTAGTCAAAAAGTTTGGTTGATGAACTCATCGTACAAATGGCACCATCTGCACCCAAAAACAGTTGGGTTTTTTTTAAAAGATGTTTCGTTTCAGCAGTATGGGCAAAAGCCAAAGACGTACAATTGAGTGGCATAAATATTTTCTGCTACTGGAATTGAATTCCATTTAGATGTGGGATTTTTTCAGGGCCAAGTTTGATGTGGATTAGCTGGCGCTAATTGACAGAAATCTCTTTTTCCTTTCAAAGTCTGATGCTTGGATAGGAGGAGGAGTGTGTTGGTTTTAAAGTAGACTCTGTACAACTTTGGACTTTGACAGTTTGCTACATGAGAGCGTCAGTTTTCTGCTCAGGCTGGATAGTGACAGTCACCGAGTAGAAAGTGGTACAAGTGACCAGAAGCATGTTGTGATATGGGCATGTGTGTATTTTGTGGGCGCCTCTGATGTATGTACGTGTTGTATATGGATCTTGTTTTTGATAATCCAGGAATGGTCGCATGTGCGTTATATGTGTGTTTGCTCCATTGTGTGTATGTCAGTCTCTGACAATATGCAGGTTCATTATCTCTTGAAATGACAAGAGAACAGCTTTTAGCTTTTCATTTCGTGATGCATTCAACAAATAACAAACGGAGGATTGTAAGCAAGCTTCTCGCAAAGCACTCTTTTCCCAGCCTTTGAACAAACTAGTTCAAACATGCGGCTTTTATCTGTAAGGCTCCAGCAAAGCACTCGCTCAATCAACAATTTTCAATTCTGTATTGCTCACGGTGTTGTCTACCAGTATTTTAGCATTGCGCCTGTTGCCTGTGTTAGCGTTGGTGTGTGGTTTTTATTCTTCAGGCTGTCATAGAACAGTTAAGCCTGATGGGGCTGCTTTATGAAGCAAGCTGCTTGATCAGTTCTTGTGAGAGATGATGTTTCATTTATAAAAATAAAACCTGGCGCAAAAGATGTGAGAACTGTCATTGTTTGTCTGAAGTCTGAAGTGTGTGTTTATGAATAGACGTGTGTTAGAAAGTGCATGACAGGTGTGTACTTATCCGCACGTTGCGCTTTGTCCATCTTTTGGCTGTCCATGTTGTTATGCTTATTTTAAAGCAGTCGGAACAAACAAGCTTTTCCCTATGGAATATAATTTGAATAAAAATTTTTCATCTCTTCAGAAGTTGTCAACATAGTATTATTGCTATCATTGTTTTGTTTTTTGTTTGCTCTGAGATATAGGGTTTTTTTTACTCTTCATAGAGGTTTTTTTAAACTCTTCATACAGGTTTTTTTAGTGCAGACCTGCCAAGTATTCTGATTAAATTGGAATCCTCCGATTTTTTGTCCCCCATCGAAGAATGTGGATCGACTTCGCATAAACTCCAACTTATTTTACTTATTCTTGAATTCCCTTTCCATCAGTTGTACGCAAATTATTGTAAATGACATAAAAATACACAGGCTTATCTGCGTTCATTTGCAATATTGTGTTTTTTGTTTTCGTATATTTGTAATACGTATTGGTTTGCCACTGTCAATTCTTTACATAATTGTAATCTACTGGGGATCCTGGAGACTCCGATTGATTGCCCAAACTGTGATTTCTAGGAAGGATTTTTTGAAAAACTCCTATATAGTTGAGCCTGACTGAACAGACTCCTGTGTAAGATGAAAACCTGTCATAACGGAACCTTCCCTCTCCCCCATGATAAATTATTCTATAAATACCTCTATTAAACAGAAACCTGTCTAACGCAAAAACTGAAAGAGAAATTCCTTCCCTTCGGAGGGTTTTTACCTGTCAAAAACGGAAAATGCTTTGCCCACTCAGCCCTTATCTGAAACAAAACCATCTCGTTTGGTTCCATTGGCTCTAACCTCCACGTTGTACCGCCAGGCGAGGAGTAGCGGTGCAACTTGGAGGTAGGTGTTCCCCAGTGCGTACTAGTAGGCCATGATGTTACCCCATCTATGTAAATAAATAAATCCATGTAAGTAAATAATAAATAATAAATAAATTACAATGTTATAGTTATTTGTCCCAAAAGAGCACTTTGGTTTACAATTTCAAACATACTTATTATAAAAAAGTACTTACATAAATACATACATCATAAATACACAATATAACACAAATACAGAACAGTTTACAACAATGCCACTGTTGGTCGCCTCTGTGCAGCGCCCTGTATTTTGAGCTAGGGTTGTCGTGTCTTGCTCAAGGACACACCCCCAGTGACCACCCATCTGATCCCCGTGTTACAGACACTTGCTTGACATTACTTGAGTCTAAACTGACTACTTACTTACTTAGCCATGTGAGCAGATTGCCAGGGAATGAAATCTCACTAGTGCCTGTGAAAGTGCTCGAGTGGCACCCCAGCCCAGAAACTATAGGGTGATCCAAAGAAAACAAAATTGTATAACTTTTTTTCTAAATATCTCACAAGAAATTTGTACTAGAATGTTGTAATTTGGAACAGATATAATAAAAAATTCAAAAGGAATTTGCTTGACATAAAATTGACAAAGAAGCAACTTATTTTCGAAAACGGAAATGGCTTTTATAAAAACCACCTATAAATGCAAAATGCATCAATTTAAAAGATCTTGTAAGGAAAGTAATGAAATGATTGGTTTGTTATTTCCTTTCCTTTTGTTTTTTTAATGGCATCATTCCATCCCTGTAAATGTAACCTTTAAACAATATTTTATTTTCCTCCTACAGAGTTTTTAAAAATGTTTTTAAAATCTAGTTCTGGAATTCCTAAAACCTGTGGTCTATAATATTTCCTCCTTTGGACTCTACACATTTTAACGCGTCGTTCGCAATGTTCAGTGGTGGCCAAACGCAAGGATCCACTCAACCTTGTGTACTCAAAGCCACACACACTGTACAACTTACACTACAGTATGGAGCTGTTTCTAGAGACAAAGTGGGGGGGGGGGGGGGGGAGGAGGTTACCCATATAGACACCATTAAAATGTGGAATTGATATAACCTGAAAGTGTGAAAGGTGAATAATATGGGTTTTGCCAAGGAACCAAATGTCAGAGGAAATGTTCACGCATTTCTAGACGACCGAGGAATCATGAACACATTGCTGTCCTCTGATAGCTTCGCGAACGGGAAAATTGTGAGGCAGCGTGGTGGAATCAGGCTCTCGTCAATTTTTGGGCATGTAGAGTTATTGGTACCATCTTGAAGCTTGTTCACTTGTCTTTATTTGGATAAAAAAATATATATATTTATTTTAAATATAAGTCGAGATATTTGCGAAAGAAGGAGGTGGAGGTCACCTGTTTTCAGAGGTAAAATTAGTGAGAAAATGGTCGCCAAAGATTAGTTATTTCCTTAGCTTAAGAGTCCGTGGTAACTGAAAATTTACATTTTTTGTGCCCTTAATCAACGTTTTCCAGAAAAATCCACACAGAAATTAGTTTTTTAATAGGCATGAAAGGTGTTGAGCCAAAAAAAATAATTTTTAAAATAAAAATTCACAAACCTGCGGAAAAATGCAAGTTTCTTCACTTTGATTATTTTGACGAGAGCCTGATTCCACCACGCTGCCTCACATTTATTTTACTTAATTCGCTCTACATAGCGCGTAAAAAACAACAACCCATTTTCAGCTATGTTTGCCTTAGGCCTACCATTAAAAACCCCATATTGATGCAGTTGCGAGCGCCGTAAAACGTAAAAATATCTCGACTTGTATTCAAGATAAATTGATATTTTTTTCATCCAAATAAAGACAAATGAACAAGCTTTAAGATGACACCAATAACTCTACATGCCCCAAAATTGCCGGGAGCCTGATTCCACCATGTTGCCTCACAAATATCAGACAAATTCCTTTTGACTTCCAAATTTTGTGTACAAATTTGAAACGTAAAACTTCAGGGTGGGGGAAAATATTAACCCCCAAAAAAGTTGTACAGTTGGGTTGGGTTTTTTAAAATCACCCTGTATTCTGTGTAGCCTGAGGCCAGAGGTGTGAAATTAGTAAATAATAATAATAATAATAATAATAGATAGCATTTGTATAGCGCATATCCCCGCTCAGCAGCAGGCTCTAAGCGCTTTTTCACTATAATATTATTACCCCAGCTGACCATAGAACACTCCGAAACAGTCTCAGCTTCCCGGGAAGCATACAGTGCAAGCAGCCGATTAAGCGCTCAAACACTGACAAACTGACAAGATCTTTCGCTGTCTATAGCCGGGTACCCATTCCCACCTGGGTGAAGTGAGGAATATTCGTGTAAAGTGCCTTTCCCAAGGACACAACGTCGGGTCCCTGACGGGATTTGAACCCACGACCTTACGGTTGCGAGTCCGAGAGCCTAACCACTAGGCCACCGACGCCATTGACTCAGCGACAGGAAATTTCAGAGTATCAAAACAGGGAAATCAGTTTTTTCAGCTAAATTGAGGAAGTTCATTACACTTTTCTCTGGAAAGCAAAGCTTTTTGTTTCAGTAAAAATAAGCACATCAACACACTACGTCATTTAGAGGGAGTAGAAAAGCAAGAAAGTACTTTGTGGCGTCGGTGGCCGAGTGGTTAGGCTCTCGGACTCGCAACCGTAAGGTCGTGGGTTCGAATCCTGTCAGGGGCTCGACGTTGTGTCCTTGGGAAAGGCACTTTACACGAATTTTCCTCACTTCACCCAGGTGGGAATGGGTACCCAGCTA